CCCATACAAAAAGCCTGGTGGCGGTGCGGTCGCCATGAGCAGCGGAACTGCGTCACCGCATCCCGTTGTTATCGGGGTGCACGGGCTGGGACCGGCACACCTGGGTCGCTGGCGAGGGTCACACCACTCCGGCCATCGTGCAGTCAGTCTGAACACCGCCCGGCGGTCACATCGCAGCGACAGCCACCATGGGATCCACGGCACTCGGCCTCTGTGGCCTCCTGCTCTGTATCGGGGTGACCCGCGCCGGTGAGTAGATCGGGAATCAGATCAGATGGTAGGACATGCTACCTGCAAGGTTACCTTGTCGAGATTAGTGCGTGGAAGGGGAAGTGTTATGGAGGGCCTTTGGTTCTCTGTATAAGTACGGTAATCTCTGTCACATATTGACGGCCGCGGATGTCGCCAGATGACGTGTGTTACGAGGATGTGGGCTGCTTTACGACCGACTATCCGTGGTCCGATGCCAAACGGCCGATGCCCAACCTGCCCGAGCCGCCAGCGAACGTCGGCACCCGGCTCCTGCTTCACACCAGGTGACACATCACGACACGCTAAAAATTTATTTTAGTATGTAACGCTACTTAGGTGTTTTCGCATTTACATACCTAAAATTTATTGCAAGCTGTCTTAAAATTATTTGCATTCAGTGAGGTGGGACTCGTAACAATAAACGAGCTCAACAACAGGTTTCCTGTAATCACGACACGCTAAAAATTTATTTTAGTATGTAACGCTACTTAGGTGTTTTCGCATTTACATAACTAAAATTTATTGCAAGCTGTCTTAAAATTATTTGCATTCAGTGAGGATGGACTCGTAACAATAAACGAGCTCAACAACAGGTTTCCTGTAAAGATTAACCAGTGCACTGTTGTGATAAATGCGATGTAACGTTTGTGGTGTTACTCGCTCTGCAGAAACGCTGGCGAGAAGGAGGTGTTCTACAACAGTGATGACCTGGGAGACTTTGACCCCTCGCGGAAGACGGTGATCATGACCCACGGATTTAATGACGCTGGCGATACACGGTTCCTGGTTGAGTCCAAGGATCTCCTGCTCAAGAAGGTGCGCCACATCACCATGAAAAATATGTCAGTAAATCTCTTGACATTTTGTGCGAGATTCATTAAAATAGCAAAGCTTTGTTGTTATATAGATAAGTTTCAACGTAGCGTGCATAGAAATGGAAGAATACTAGGCTTGATGTTTGTAAAGGTACCTAGTTATTCTCTCTGGCCAGGCTCCTCTGACTCTCTTTGCCTGCTCTCTGTGCCAGGGCGACTACAACGTGGTGATTGTGGACTGGCGGGACGGTGCCAGCATCCCGTACCTGCAGGCCACGGCCAACACGCAGCTGGTGGGACGGCAGATCGCCCTGCTCGTCAACAAGATGATCAGCGCCGGCGCCTCGGCCGCCGACTTCCACCTGGCCGGCCACTCACTGGGAGCACACATCTGCGGATACGCCGGCAACGGCATCGAGGGCCTCGGCCGCATCACAGGTGGGGCGATCCTAGATCGGCGGTCGCCAGCAAGCAACCTTGTGGATATCGTGGTGACGTAGCTTGTGCGATTAACCCGGCACCGCCTGGGCTATTTCCGTACCCACATCAGCCTGGGGGGGGTCGGATCCGACCCCCCCCCTGTTATCTCGAGAACCAATGGTCGTATCGAGCCCCGCGAGGCGGCGTTCGAAAGGTCTCTACGAGACCTTCCCAAAGCGCTCTTAAGATTTTAAGATTGAGGTCAACTTTCGGGTCAAGGTCAGGTCAAAGGTCAAATTCAGGGGTTTTGCATGATTAGGCTTACGGACAGCGGAATCGATAGCTGCTGCTCGAAACTCACCACAAATGACCTCAAAGACCTAGTGAAGGTACCATGTGCGTATAGGGGTCATACTAAGTACGGGTCAAGGTCAGGTCAGGTCACGAAAGGTCACGGTTTTCACTTTCTGATACATGGGCGTGCGACACATGTTTTATGGCTTATTTTTCACGCCAAATCCGATGGTAATGGTTATATGTGACCCCAAGTCACTGTGCTGGTGATAAGTGTGCATTGAAAGCATAAAAAATCGTTTATTCCATACATAACTAAACGAGGGCTAAGGAAAAAAGTCAATTTTTCAACTTTTTATTTTTGACATAAAAATGCACTTTTCTAGACGAGCTTTGTCCCAGGAATCTAGTGGTGCCATTTGTTTTCACATGCGATGTTCAGAAGTGCCTCTAATTCGCGAAAATGCTTATGACGTCACCATGCCCTATGCATGTTGGAGCTATTTTTTACAATTTGGGGGTCAAAAATCAAGATAGAAAGTTGAAATTTGGGACATCTAATGTTCTAATAGAGCTCTATAACATTTATTCCGGTTTTTTGGAAATTCTCAAAATTTTGGATTTTATTAGCTGTTTTCCAAAAAATACAGTTTTTTGAATTTTTAGGGGTAAAAAACGCATTTTATGGAAAATCCGAGATAGCCATTTTAAAGAACTCGTTGAGCTGCGTCTTTTTATGTCCTCAATTTGCAATTTGCTTAAAATCTCGATTTTTGGCGATTTTTTAAACATTTACCATTTTTTGACTGAAAACGCCATGTAGTTACATCACTAAAATCGATATATCTCAAAAATTTTTGAAAATTTTTTCTTAAAAATTGCACAGGAGACGTCAAATTGATGGGGGAGAAGGTATGCGAGGTTTCAAGTTGATAGCGCAAGCGGTTCATGAGTTATTCAAGAAAAACGGAGGGGGGGGGGTCGGATCCGACCCCCCCCCCCAGGCGGTCGCGGGTTAAGTTTTAAAAACAACGGTTAAAGTTCCGGTCTCCCCGTTTTCACAATCCATGCAATGCAAGCGATGTCCAATAAAGTTGCTTGGCCTTCATCGTAGTTAATTAATAAATGTCTCGTTCGTGGTCATGTTCACAAGTGTCCACCCGGCTCAGCCATTTGAGCCGCTGTGTGCTCGTGCGCCAGGTCTGGACCCTGCCGAGCCGTACTTTGAGGACACGGATGTGATTGTGCACCTGGACCCGACTGACGCTCAGTACGTGGACATCATCCACTCGGACGGCCGCAGCATGGCCTTCCTCGGCGCCGGCTTCACGAAGGTCAGAGAGCGCTCGGTATCTGGTGGGACAGAAGCTAGGCAGAGATCGGGGGCTATTGCTGTTAAGTGCTGATACTTATCACAAATGTACCGTTTTCTACCCTCAGTGATCACTGTTTCAGGCCAACGGCCATGTGGACTTCTTCCCCAACGACGGCAAGAACCAGCCGGGCTGCGGTGACCTGGACGCCGAGATCGAGGGCCTCATCTGGGATCTGGAGACTCTCGACTTTGTCGGTACGATCAGTGGTGGATTTTTAAGCATTTATCTTTTCACAGCCGTGAAATATTGAGTTCGAAGTTGCAAAAAACTGTTCTAGTTAGTTGCTAACGCAAGACCTTCTACCAAAATAATTTTCAAAATAAAAATACCTAAAGTAAAGGACTGCAGAACAAGGCTGGAGGTATTATTATTTACCGACATTTAATGTCGGTAAATAATAATAATGTCGGTGCCACCTTACTTCCCTCATCTAACGAGGGCTAACGAGGGCCCATTTATTTTCGAGCAGCGGCGGCCGGCCTGCTCGGCTGCTCTCACGCCCGCTCGCACCAGATTTTCGTCGAGTCTCTCCGGGAGCAGAGCTGCAGCTTCCTGGCCTTCCAGTGCGCGGATTATGACGAGTACCTGGCGGGCACCTGCCAGACCATGAACACCGCGACGCTGGGCCTGATCGGATTGGAAAATATCGATATGAACCTGAACGGCTCCTACTACCTGCAAACCACGGCCGTCAACGAGGCGCTCTGCGGTTAGTGAGAGAGCCAGGCACATTTACAGTTTGCTTCCTATTTGTAAAACATAAGGGTGTAATATGAGTGTAATATACTTGCCTAATTATTCTTATGCTTACGCACGTTTGTAATGTTGTTTCAGTCAACTACTACGAGCTGACGGTGGAGTTGAACGCTGACCAGGAGGATACCGTCGGCAACATGGTGATCGTGCTCAACGGAGAGCTGGGCTCTACTGACCGACTGCCTGCATGGAGGTGGGAACAAGGCACATTTTTACTTACTTAAATGGTGAAAGAGCTGCTAGAATTGCACTCAGCTCCTAACTTTATTTGCTTAATGTTTTCGTCGAAATAAACAGTCGTTCGTATTATTTGCAACGCTTCGATCAGTTGCCCCTTTTCTCAACATCCCTCACTCCTTTGCACTCTTCCGCCATTTTTTACCCCTCACATCTCTGCCCTTCCCTCACCGTTCTGGCCTCAGTGACCCTTTGGTTCTCACTGTCCCTCACCGTTCTGCCCTCTTCCAGCGACCACGTGGACCTGTCTGCCGGCGCCGAGCGGCGCACCACCATCCACACGCCTGTCTCTCTGGGCGCGCTGACCTCCGTCGACGTCACCTACCACGACCACCACGGCACCGAGCAGCAGGCGCTCAGCGCCGCCGCCCTGCGCGTCAGCACGGCCGACCGCAGCCTGCAGGTGTCCACTCAGAGGTTCTGCTACACCGGCCCGCCGGTCACCGACAAGGCCACAGTCACCTACCAGGCCTGCTAGAGACAACGAGGGGACAAAGTCGGGATACAGTATGTGGAATGGCATAGTTTTGCTTGTAAATAAACGAGAACGAAGAATGACTGATGATCACTGGCCAGGGCATGATGTCGCTAATGATGCATGACGGAGCCGTGCGATAAATTGCAGGTTTCCAGTAATTTGTCCACCAGACGTCATGCACATAACTATGTGGAATGTGGATGCCTTAGAATGAACTCCGAATGATTACGCATCTGTCCGTGCTTCATGGACGGACTGGAGCGTCTGTGCCGTAATATCTCCGTGCATTGCGGAACAGCCTAACATCGCCGCAAGCAGAGTGGGCACTGTGGAGTGTGGAGCTTACATAAAATATTATGCAATAGGCACATAGGCAGCTCGCAGGTTTCAATATTCACACGCTGTAGATATGATGGTGACATAAACAGCAGATAATTTTCGCCGTTGCATTTCTGCTCATTGAGAGCTACAAAAAGCAATAGTTGAGACCATTCAGTCTGAGGCGATCATGCATTTCTAGGCTAAGATTAATCTAGGGTCTTGTCCTGATTCTGCCCTGGTTCAAGGCTTGATCTTGGCTGTGAATATATCATTACTACGCAAAAAAAGGCGGTCACTGGTCGCGGAACTCGGCCGCCACCTCCTCCAGCTCCCGGATGAGGCTGTCCGCCCTCTTCAGTCGGAGGGCGCCGTCGCCGCCGGGGGTGATGCCCAGCGCGCCGGTGCGCAGGCTGCGCGGCAGCTGGTTGACGGGCGGCGGCGGCAGCGGCCGCAGCCGGTGCTGCTGGTCGCGCAGGGCTGCTGTAGTCAGCACGGTCAGCAGCTGCTCGAGCAGGCCGCGCCGCGGCTCGCCGCCGGTGCCGGCCGGCGTCACGGCCAGCGCGCGGCGCACCACGCTGCCGGCGTGTGTGACCACCGTCTGGAGGCGCGCGCGCAGCTCGGTCTCCTGCTGGAGCTCCTCAGAGAGCCGTTCGACCAGCAGCGCCTGCTCGGTGCGCACCACGGCCGCCTCCTCCAGCAGGCCCTGCTGCTGCGACAGGCGCGCCTCCAGCTTCCTGACGCGGCACTGCTGCTGCTCCAGCTGGCCGGCCAGCTGGCTGTGCTGCTGCACCTCCTCCGTCAGCGCCCGGTTCCGGTCCTGCAGCCGCGCCAGCTCCTGCTCGTGCCGGCGCGTGGCGCTCACCAGCGACTGTTCGCTCCACTCTAGCGAGCTCAGCACGCGGCCGTTCTCCACCGCTCTGGCGCGCAGCGCCGCGTTGTCCGAGTCGAGGTGGCGCGCCTTGTCGGCGATCAGGGCCATCTGCGCGGTCAGACAGATGTTCTCGCGCAGCGTGCGGTGGGTGGTCTGGTTGACCCGCTGTCGGGTGGCCTCCTGGAACGCCTGCGCCACGGTGGCGATGTTTTTGACGCAGTCCTTCTGCAGCTGGTCGCTGTCGATGACGCGCTGCCGGTTGGCCTGGTAGACGCGCTCCTCGGCGTCCTGTCGCTGCTGCTCCAGCTGCTGCTCCAGCTCGCTCTTCTCGGCGAACAGCTTCTCCCGCATCCGGCGGAACTCCTCCAGGGAGGTCAGCTTGGTGGTCAGCATCTGCACCTCGGCGGTCAGCTCAGACTGCATGCGCTTCATGTCACCCTCCAGTTTGTCCTTCATCTCTCGACACTCCTGCTGCTCCTGGTTGCGGATGGCGTCCAGACCCTCCAGCCGCTCCGTCAGCTCGACCAGCTCGTCACGCTTCTGCTCCAGGCGCAGCTTTAGGAAGCTGATGACGTCAGCTAGGTCCGTAGACAGCTGATTGTAGCGGCTCGATAGGTCTGTATTGGATTCCTCCAGAGTTGCACATTTTGAGCGGCAGCGCTCCAGCTTTTCTGTAAGGTCCTTCACAGTGATTTCAAACATCTCTTTTGTGACCTCAGTCATGTCCTTCTCTTTCTTTTCCTTCTTCTTGCCCTTCTTTCCCTTCTTACCTTTCTTCCCCATCTTGATCGGCAAGCGAGTTAACTTTTGTTTAGCTTCTGTTCCTTATTACTGCTATCCACGTCGTCCTGAACCTCGATCAATTTTAAGCGATTAACGCTGGTCCTTACAACTCACACGGTTATTTAGCAATTACCAGATAGCTCTTCATACTACAAAGGCGCTTCACTAGTGTGCACTATCACGACGGTACCATACGAAACGGCGCGTCCAGCTATCGTTGCCCAGGTCACGTGGCTCCGCTGCTAATCTATCGTCTCCATGGAAACTGTTGATCGGTCACAGCTGAAGCTCCTGGCGCTGGCTACTCAGGCTATTATTATGCGAACGTCACGATGGTGATATATTTGACAGTATTGGTGGCACAAATGACTACAGATTGTTGAAAATATCTATAAATAATTTAAGCAATTTAACTCAAATTTTCAGTTGTTTCATTACACGCATAATGTCAATCGATAAACTTCAGGCAAAGTATGATCGAAATCAGCTAGCTATAAATCTGATGAAAGTTGTTTTATCCGCGGACAACGTTGGAGTGTTTTGACAAGTGATTTTGAAGTGCGTCACATTTTGTTATGATTTATCACTATTGTTTTTCGTTTATTTTAAGCGATCGCTAATTCTCGTGAATAAGGTGTTCACTAAACCCCAAAAAGCAATGCACCCAACTTTTCAAACCTTTCTTCAAGTGCCTAATTGCAGTCGAAACGCGGTAAATCATGCGTAGGTAAGATACTGGCTCAATTCTGATTTCTCAGCCGAAATTCAGAATTTAGATTTATAAGTGACTTAGTAAAATCGAGAGGAAATAGCATTGGAGGTAGATGTATGTAAGTACATGGCATTGAACACATTGAAAGCCATACAATGCTGCGACATGTGCTGTGCACAATATACTCGTATAGTCTCGCACATTTTAGATCACCGTTGGTGATGACTTACATTTATCTGTTAAATATTCCGGAGAGACGAGTCCTTTATATCAGAAATTGAATTATGAAGACGAGTCTGGTCATAACACGGGTATTGATGAGGTCTTATTACGACGAGATACTGGGTCGATGAAGGAGGAAGGCGGTCCGTACCTATCCAAGCTTCATTACGAGCGCAATCTCAGCGCTCGATACCTTTCATCAGCCCTCATCCCAGACAGGCCGGGAGAGGAGCCGAGACAGTGTGTCTACAGGGGTCCGAGAGGAAGCGTCTGATAGGAGAGCACCTGGGCGCCAGTCAGAGCCTCCAGGACAGTCTGATAGGGAGCGCCTGGGAACCGGATCAGCACCTCCTACCGTCTGGCAGGCAGCAATACTGGGAGAAGAGTTGCCGTCCCGCGGTCAAGGGATGGCAGCTATGTTTAAGGAGACAGAACTTTGGTTCAAAAGCCTGAGGAAGCAAGATCAGCCTACTACGAAACAGAAACGGTGAGATTGTATCAATTGCTTAGGTTTAATTAGGAAAATAGTTTACTTACCGAATGCAAATCGATTGGTGCCACTAAAGAGCACTCATTATTTAGAGAAGTGAACTTTTTTAGAGCAGATTAGACAGGAATGCCAAATCCTATTTATAACACTTATGCAGGTAATAACAAGGTGGGTACAGGTTTAACTACCTCATAATGTACCCGTTTTCAGGAAGTGCTGGTCGCTCTCACGCTCCCTGCCGGAGCTCGCGTGTGACCCATCGGACGTGGCCAGGACCCGCCAGAGCTCCCAGGAGAGCCGCCTTCGACGTCGGTATGGTGCCGCCCTTCCGTCAGATACAGAGCGAAATTACGAGGCTTATTGGATGAAAATGTGCACGGTGATGCTTAATCAATTGCCGCTCCACTACCTGAGTTCGTTTGACAGGAGACAAAAAGATTGTGTGGTTTGAGCATGAACAATTCTAGCCATTTGACTCAAGAGGTAGTAGGTACTTTATGATCGGAATTTTATGATAAATAAGCTCTTGATTACTTGTTGTCAGCAGCGATGTAAGATGTTAAACAATATTGACCTCCTGTTTATGTTAACATACACGAAGCCATACAATGCTGCACTAAGTCATGCATGAATTTAGTCGATCCTGTGGCCTGCATTTTTTTTATATTAGGTGTTCCGTTCCGTTTTAGGTTATTCAGACAGGTTGCTCTCTGTTTCCGATGGGCCCTCTGTGCCGTGCCACAGGACGGTGCAGGTCCAGCGTCACCTGGAGGCCCTAGTTGAGCAGAGTCGCCGCCAGACGGCTCTGCTGCTGCGCCGCCAGCAGAGAGCCACCGCCGTCCAGAGGTTCCTTCGGCAGCCCATCGCCGCCCCGCGTGAGTTATTCTCGCCATTGGAATCGCTGTCATTTTTTGAAGGTACCAAATATTACTGGAATCCATTCACTCGAGATTGGCTTCACCTAACTTCACCTCTTAGGGGAGAATTTCTCTGTTTGTGTTTATGGTAAATAAATGAAGGAGCAAAATAAACAAATATCCAGTGACCTATATCACTACTCTTATACTTGCATCATGTCCTGTAGTGTATGTATGTTACGGGCCAAGTGCGAAGGCTAGTCCGTTTGCGAACGGACTAGTCCATTCGCGAATGGACTAGGCCGTTTGCGAATGGCGGTCCGTTTGCAAACGGACTAGTCCGTTTGCGAATGGCCGGCCATTCGCGAATGGCCTAGGCCGTTTGCGAACGGACGGGTTTGTGGCGTTGCACTTAGCCGCCGGAAGCATGGATCCTCGGATTGGGGTACGATTCCGAATGAATGGGAGACCGCTGGTCGATGCAGGGGCGTCGCCGACGGGGGGGGGGGCGGGGTCGGAGGGGTCCGGACCCCCCCCCCACACACACACACACATTCTTGAAAACATGCCGGTCCGACGCCCCCCCTCCCCCTTTACACACACACACTTTTGGCCACGAAAATCGATCAAGAATAAAATAAAATATTTTAAAAACGATTTTGGTGCATTCTAAAAAAAAAAATTGTCTAAATCCGAGGAGTTTTCAGTATTTGGCGGGGATTACTTTGACTGACCGTCCGACCAGATCCCCTAGTCGAAAATCCGTGGCGACGCCACTGCGTCTATATGTTTAGTTTGTTCTCCGGAGCAGATCTGCGAGCTGGCGCAACTCTGGGTTAAGGTCTCCACACACCTGGTCCATTCGGGATGCGACTTTCCGCTGAACCCTGCACAACGCGGAAATTATAGCAACGTGTTGCCGCTGGCCAGGCTTCGGCCACCGATCTGGATCTGGGGGAGGTCAAATATCCCCGTGACCTTCGAACAGCGGAGAGTCGCGTGGTGTGCGGAGGCCGTTAGTACCGTGCTCCGGGCTCCCCGCTGATGACCCGACCTGACCTTGGTCGAGTTTGTGGCGCTCGATTCATTCTGCTCTGGTGTGGTGTACCGGGACGGTGCGGCTTGTGTGTGGTGAGTGCGGTGCGGTGAGTGTTCGAAAAACTGTTGTGTTGCATTGCATTTAACAATACGCGCACTGCAGGTGGGTTGCTTTCAACCCCCCTGTGGTTTTTCGCAGATCACGAGAAAACGGCGGCGCGCAGCAAAGCCAAATTTTGTATACCTTTTCTCCCATATTCTGCGCACATTGTGTGAAAATGCTGACTCCAGATGACCTCTTGCTGGATATTTCGCACTTGGCCTGACTTCGCACTTGGACTGGGAGCATAAACGCCCGTCCATTCGCAAACGGCCTAGGCCAACTGCAATAACGCACATGGACTAGTCCATTCGCAAACGGCCTAGTCCAAGTGCGTTATCGCACTTGGACTAGGCCATTCGCGAATGGACTAGCCTTCGCACTTGGCCCGCAACATGTACATACGAGTACATTTCTCGCGAGTCGTGAGACTATCGCACGATCGACAGTAGTTCAATTGGCGGCAGTTGATGGCAGTCACCACCGGCGCCTGAATACAAACTGTGCCGCATGAGCAGGTAGTAGATCCATCTGCAGACCGCAACCGCTTGATAGCAGCAGCCATCTGCGCCCCAATGTAGATTGTGCCGCATTACTGCTAGTAGTTCAATCTGCGGCCGCTAGATGGCAACCGCAATCTGCGCCTGAATGTAGACTGTACCGCAGGGCCATGAGAAGTTACATACGCGGTCGCCAGATGGCAGTAGCCATCAGCGCCTAAATGTGATCTGTGCCGCATTTTAGTAGTAGTTGTGTCAATGGCCGCTAGATGGCAGAAGCATCCGGCGCCTGAATGTAGACTGTGCCGCATACCCGGTCGAAGTTCAATCTGCGGCCGCTAGATGGCAGGAGCATCCAGCGCCTGGATGTAGACTGTTCCGCATTACTCAGGTGACCGCGGCGAAAGACGAGAGGGCAGCCGTTTGCTGCCGATTTGCAGTAGCGGCGGAAGACATTCATTTAAGGGGGGGGGGGCACTGCCTAATTTTGGTCCCATTCTTTCCATGCAACGCCCATAGGGCTAACCTTAAAATGCCAAAATGAAAGGGGGACACCGGACACGGTGCCCCGGTGCCCTCCCCGTTCCGTCGCCTATGCGGCGATTTGTGCGAGTAGTTTGTTATAATACCGTGCAATTATTACGGTAGCACCGAACTCCGTCATTACATGAATATTCGATTTTTGTTGCCGCGAACTGCCGTTCGTCATGAATTGTATTTGAATCACTGATCGTCTTGAGAGTGGAAGAAAAATCGATTCCCGATGGTTGTCCTGCTGAAGATCAGCGTAAAAAAACAGCTACGACGAGCATTGCTAAAGTCATTGCTAAAGCAGTCACACATTAAGGACCACTGCATAAGTATATAAGAGATGAGGCATTTCAAGCTCATGTTCAATACCCGTCAGTCGTCACAACATTCACCGGTTTTAGGGGCCAGGACGACATAATGAACTTCCGCAAAGCTCGTCAAGGAGCGGCGAGCCAACGAACAAGCGTAATCTAGATTCACTCGTATTTATGTTTGCCTGCTATATTACCCATGATGCCGTTTGTTTCAGAGTTTACATATGAGAACACGGAACAAGGATATGCCTGGTGAGAGATATCGCTTTTTTGCATACACATTACAGAATCCTTGGCCTTGGGATAAGATTTTATTCAATAAGCATACCTACGTTGGGGCTAAAATTGAGTAATTTAATGTGCTTTTACTCTGCAGTTATGTCATGTCCAACACTGCAACCACCAGGCATTTAGCGCTGCTTACATCTAGTTATATGATACAAAAAGTGAAGGAGAATTCGAGTTTCGTGTGGATCCTGTCACTACTATTCCACCACCGTCTCACCCCACGGTGCCGTTCTGCTGTGACAGCCGGACTACTGTGCTGCGTTTCAGCTGTCCGCTGACGGGCCCGTGCGGCTGCCGCGCCACCAGCGACTCCTCTGCTGAGCGGCTGGCGTGGCGACAGAGCGACCCCGACCTCTGCCGGGAGAGGACCTGCCCGGGAACACCGTGCCGCGTGCCGTGCTGCGAGCCGTTCTACACGCAGCAGGCGGCGGCAGAGAACCACCGCTATCCGTGGCGAGGAGCGGCACAGAATCACGGTCCTACTCAGCAGCGCATAGCGCCGAACTGTGACTCATTGCCATCAGAACTGACCCAATACTACAGCCCTTCTCAGGGCGGAGTGGAGCAGAGCTCCAGGCCTCAACAGGGAGTGGCGAGAGATTACAGTCACCCGCACCAGGATATCTCACCGAGTCATACCTCTCCACGCCCCAGAGCACCATATAAACCTAGCCTCTCCGAGCAGGAAAGGTTCCATCCTTCACACCAAGAAGGCATCTCCAACCACGGCTCCACGCAAAAGGGTGCTGCACAAAACCAAAATCCCTTTATGCAAGCATTCGGCACCACCCAGCGATTTTGTGGGTTAGCTCAGCAGCCAAAGGCGGAGACTGACGATCACCAAACCACTGCACAGACAGCTGCTCCAATGCGCGTTTGTTTCAAGCAACCACCAGAAAGTGATGTCCAACAAAACTGTCCAGTAGCGTCGGTACAACAGACAGCACAGACTAACGAAAACCTGCAGCGGGACGCCCCAACTGTTGGAATCCTGCAGCAGAACGCCCCAACAGCCCGAGTCCTGCAGCAAGACTCCCCAACTACCGGCATCCTGCAGCCGAGTGACCGGTCACGGCCGCCACCACATCCGGACAAAAAGGTTCAGCGGCGCGCATCAAAAGTTACATTTGATCCTATAGTGGTTCTCAAGATGGACAAAAACAGAGTGGAAGCATTACCAGAGGTAGCTGAGCAGGATGCAAATGAGATTTGCAATGCCAGATCAAAAACTAGCGAACGTCAAATCATTTCTAAATCACCTGAAAATACAAAGCCCACATCAACGAAACAAAAGGTTTTCACCGTAACATCTGTCATAACTAAAACCACAACAGATCGGAGCCATCAAAGCGAGGAGACATCAAACAACGACCCAAGCTCACTCCTCGAATACAGAAAACGTAAAGAGGTGACCACCCAGCGGGAACAAGGCATGGGGAAGAACCTCCAGGATATAGCGGAGCACGAACCTCGTTGCAAGATGCTGACTCAGCAGCCGACAGCAGACGATGGTGAGAATCAGTCTCCTTCATTCGATCATAACGACCAGGAGTGTTGCCAAGATGTGGACGCAGCAGCCCAGCTGTCAGTGGTAGGTCGTCAGTGCCGTATGAGCCCGCGCAGCCCTGCTAAGAAGATGAATGCAGTGAAGTCAGGAAAAATTAATGCCTTTGAAGACAGCAAATCGTCGAGTGCTGTTCCTCCAAACAGCATATATCAACAACCAGACCAAATAGGGAAATCTGAAACTGCAAAACCTGCAATGTCAAACGGTCAAAATCAAACATCAAAATGCGTATATGAAGAGAACAAGGATAAATACTTTCAAACTTCGCCTTTAAAAGATAGAGCAGCCAACTTTTCTGTCAGCAGCGCCACGGGTTTTCACCCACAAGACACGACGGGATGCTGTAACGAACCGTTTATGCCAGCGCCTTCGAACGAAAATGTGTTTCCCAATGACCAGGCATCCGATGCCGCGCAGAGTATTCACAGCGATAAAATGGGCCAGACTCCCGCTGTGGAATGTGGTGCATCGCGACAAAATACTGTAGACGCAAACGAAAGACTTGCACCGAAGAAGGAAGAAAGCTTGAGGGATACTGCTAAAGATGATCAGAAAGCATTCTTCATCGATATTACTACCGGTGAAAGTTGCACAATTGAATCTCTGTCGTCTGATTCGTCCCGTTTCCGAGGAAACCGAACGCTATTCCTTCGACAGCTACTCAGTCAACAGAAAATCGACGAAGCTGAGCACAAAACAAAAACAAAATCTCCACGACCAGCCCGCAGACGATCGGCTAGTCAGGGCAGAGTAGAAAATGTCGAGAGGGGGATGGACGCCCGTCTTCATAAGGCCAGTAAAACGAAACAGCATTTACCATTACTACGAAGTGGAGAGCGTACCGAAGTGCCATTCGTTGTACCAGCTCAGCCATCGGCACATTTTGACCTCAGATGCTACCGAAACCATGACTGTGCAGGCGAACCGCATGGGTCACCGCAGCTTAGGAGACGTAATGCCACTGAAAGACAGTACTATATAGAGCACTGGAAAGGAGGTAACATTTGCAGAGCTCAGAGCTCCAGCATAGCCCCTGAATCCTCGCTGCAACTTGAGCCACAGCTCGACGCCAGAGGTCATCACGTGTCACCGGCGGACGGTTGGACAAGTCGATGTTCCTCGGGTCATCACCAATGCGTTAGGTCGCATGCCGATAACCATGCAAGTGCGCCCTGTGCTCTACAAGCCCATACCGGCCATAGCCAGGTAATGAGCGAGGACTGTGTTCATTCAGTATCCACGATCACAAAGCATGAAACACCGTGGTGTTTTTGGTCCAGCTCATGCGACCCTAAAGAAATATTTGCTCAACACCACCACCACGGCTCTGGGCCATCAGATCGTAGTCTTGGGAAGTCTTCTCGACACGTGTCGGCCAGTGATGCCGAGGTCCAAGATATGTCAACGTTCGGACAAGCTGATGGCGAATCACAGCCAGGAACAGATTCGTTGCATACAGACACAAGACATAAACCCCTTACTACTGATGAATCGCGTGCAGAAATAACGGGTCCGCATCTTTATAATGACCGTCTTTCGAAGGATCCCTATGCCGATCACCCAAAAGAATTCGTGCCCTTGTCTGACGCTCAGCAGCTTCTAAGCACGGAGGAACGACCGGAAGATGAAACAAGCCGGCAAAGGATGACTCTCGGACCCACGACCCTCCTGACAATGGATGAAACCACTTCACAGATAGACAAGACAGGCCCTGTGCTCCAGAACACCGCAGTCTCTAACACATCACCACCTGAAGGATCTGGAGCTTCCAATCTCCTCAGCCAAGCTCAGCCACGCGACCAAAAACGTCCTGGAGCTAATGAAGGAAAGCCGAGGGTCTCCCTGCTAGGCCGGGGGCAGAGGGTCGCATCTAGAGGTCTTCCCTCCGCAGACGCGAAGAACTGGACGAGTGTGACGCTGGTGTCGCCGCAGAACATGGAGATGACATTCTCTCTGAGCACACATCTGCCCGACATCGGCGACCGACGCGGCCAGAGCCGACCACGTCAGCGGGCCAGCAGCAACAACAGCGTGAGTTTCAGTCCCTGAACTGTCCTTGTAGCTGAGCACAACATAAACCACACTACCTACTCTCAAAATAAAGCATTTATGTGAAGGCAGTCCCATCAACATAATTCCAAATGGAAATGTTGACTGATTCGCGTTGCAGCGTTTCACAAATGACAGAAAGACCCCAGATTATTGGCATCCGCCCCACAATAGCATTGCAGTTACATTGAGTCATTGAGGTGAACGATATCTACAAAACTGTTTATCCATTCCGTGTGATAACCATGCAACCACGTCCATACACCCTCAACCGAAAGTCCGACAATTGACTCTGTGTCACTGTGCTTCAGGGCCTGGGAGATCCCGCCACCCCATCGCAGCACCGATGAGGCACACGATGTCGCGTCTGAAAGTTCCGCGCGGGAAACATCTGGCTACAGCAGCACCATCGAACGTCGCCAGCCCCACTGCCGAGCGTGGACCAGACGGCAGCCGTGTCGTTCTCGTGGTGTTCTTTCCTACAGCTATCAGCTGCCTGCAGTGCAGTGTCCCGTGATGTGAGTGATGATTGCTAGCTTTGCGCTACTGTCGTTCACAGCTAATGCCGTCCACGACTAGTACTATAGGGTTACCATTATCGACAAATGAGAGCAGGAAAACAAATGAATTGGGGAAATATAAAAAGAGAGCGTTAACAAATTGAAAGACGAATGGAAGACTAGACGATGTAACATGTTTTATTGTGGTGTGAAAGTGTATACAAATATGTCGTGAATCTTCGGCAAAGGGGCAGCATTGGACCAGATTGGCGCTGTGGACTTGTTCGTCAAAATTTTCAGTAACACTCACTAGGTCGATGTTATCCATTCGATCGGTATGTCAGGTTTAGCACTCACAAAGAACTGATTTCCAACCGCAAACATAATAAACGACAATGACCGGTGTATTTCAGTGTCCAGGAGGTTTGTGTAAAAACTGACTTTCAAGAAACAAGACAATGTGACCACTTCGAAATCAGGCAAACAAATGCTGCGGCGTCACTCACAGTCCAATGAGCACGGAAGAGCCTGACACCAGTCGCAGCGCGGGAACTGACCGTCCGTGTGGTAGTGGTCAGCCGATGGCCAATTCGGGTAGTACACACACTGCTTGCCAATGGTGATCGCGTCGACACGTGAACAACCCTTCCCACAAGACACTGCAACATCTCCCAGAGTTCACAATAGCGCGACTCCACCCAGTGGAGGTAGACCAGCTCACTCCTCACTATCGTCCGACGAGGAGCCCTCGTCAGACTCGCTGGCCGATTCATGTTTCTGTCCTTTGCTCTTCATAGAGCGCAACGCTTTTTCACGGAGTTTCTTCTCCAACTCTTCCAGATTCCCTTCATCACTTGACGACGAATCCGCATCGTCGTCGTCGTCGCTATCACCCCGTCTCGACTTCCGACTGCTTTTTTGTTTGGGCTTTTCTTCTTTATCATCCTCTTCATCGTCATCACTCTCATCGCTTTCGCTGTCATCTCGACGGCGACGCTTTTCCTTCTTACGCTTCTTGGCTTTATCTTTCTTTTTCTTTGCTCTCCGTTTTTCTTCTTCGGAGTCCTGTAAAGTAAAAAATGGGAATTAATCACACATGACACGCACATCGGTATCGCACATGAAATGTTTGCCCGACCAGTAGGCATGAGGCTCCAGGGTGATTAAGTGTACTTTACACAGACATGACATTCCGTGTTAGGGGTTCAGGGACGTAATGACAGTGTAGCCATGACGCCCCTATGAACAATTTCAATAGAAAATCATATATCCCACCTCTTCCTCGGATTCGCTTTCGTCCGTGCTGGGCTTCCTGCGTTTCCTACTTCTGCGTTTCTTCTCCACCTCCTCTTCTTCCTCGTCTTCCTCCTCACTGGAGCTTTCCTCCTCCTCTGAGCTACTGGACACTTCCTTCTTCTTCTTCTTCTTGCGCCTGGGCTTCCTATCCTCCTCTGACTCCGCGCTGGATGCGCTGGCCGACGACTCTTCTGACTCGCTCTCCTCGCCTGAGGAGCTGGACGAGGGCTCCGGCTCGCGGCGGGATGACGGCGCCGGCCGCCGACTGGTGGCCGGGGGTGGCGGAGACTCCCCGCGCCGTCCGGCACGCTGTGAACGGACTGGCGCCGGAGCAGCTACACGCTCCCTGCTCTCGCGGCGGGGCGGTGACCTGTAGACACAGTGATAAAATGAGGAGACGGTTAGGCAAGAGAGATTTTGTGGATAAATCCATAAAGGAACAGACGAGCAGTAATAACAACACAGAAAGAAACCGCCAGCGCAGAGAGACAGAAAAGCTGTAGAGTGACCCACCATACAATGAAAGGGATGATGAGGTAAGGCAGAGACGTTGTACTCAAAACGAAGATAAATAAGTGTAGCATACAACAATAAATAGCAACAATGCAAAAAGTGAAAAGTAACATCAAGAAAGACCGGCGAGGCCGATACATGACGGAATCAAGCAGCCTACCTCCTGCGCGGTGACCGACGCCTCGGAGACCGCTCCCTGTCTCTGCGGACCAGCGGCTCGCGGTCGCGCTCCTTGTCTCGCCGGTCGCGTCGGTCCCTGTCGCGATCGCCGTCGCGGTCTCTCTCCCGCTCGAGGTCCCGGTCCCTGACGCGCCGGTCGCGGTCTCTGTCTCGCTCGCGGTCCCTGTCCCTGTCGCGATCTCGGTCTCTCTCGCGCTCCCGGTCCCCGCGACGGTCCCGCTCCCGAGGCCGCCGATCCCGGTCGTGGGACCCGGATCGGTTGCGGCGACGTTCTCGGGAGCGAGATCTGTCCCGGCCACTCCTCGAGCGATCGTGCTTCTGAAACCAAGGAAAGAGCGTGAGCGGCTTGGCATTCACATACCACACATGGTGAAAACTCAGCTAAAACAGCACACACTTTCATTGCAGGAAATATGGGCTTACATCAAACGAGTTTTCACAATAGTATCTGTTACATATAAAATGCATAGTTACCTAGTCTAAAACTCATGCGTACCTTTTCGAGCTCATCATCTGATTCTTTATTTGAACGATACTTCCTCTTCTTTTGAATGGTGTCCTCCTTCTTCTTTATTTCAAAGTCGTCGGATTTCTTCGAGTCTGACTCCGGTTCCACCTTGACAGCCTCTGCTTTCACGTTTGACTTTTCCTTTCCATCTTTCGTGGCATCCTGCTTGTCAGCGGCTTCCGTAGGCGCATCGGTAGACCTACGGATTTAAACAAGGTGGCATCGCGTCAACAGTGTCGACTCTTGAAAGGCTTTACGACTATATTGCACTATATCGCATGTTTTTCGACCCGATACAAATATAAATTTATCTACCTACAGAATAATACTGCATAGTAAAGCAAACAATAGCACATCGCAGCAAGACAAAAATAAGACTAACACAAGCATCCATTTCTCACCTATCATTTTCAGACGCTGCCGCTTCCTTTCGGGCTAGAGAGGCAGCAACCTCAGCCGCCTGAGCGACGGCCGCCTCCATAGTCGCAGCATGTGCGGTCGAGCCGTTGGTGGGTTCGGTGGCGCCCTGTTCGGGCACCTGCTCATCAGGCCGGGCGGCGCCGTCGCCCGAGCCCCGCTCTCGGCGCGGCGAGCGGCTGCGGCTCTTGCTCCGGGAGCGCCGCCGCCGCCGCCCGCTCCGCTCCCGGGACCGCGAGCGAGACTGACGTCGGGCGTGACTGACATTGAGCTCCTTCTCGACACGCTCGCGCTCAGCCTCCACCTGCCGGCGGATGTCCTGCTCCAGGCGTGCCTGGTCCTCCTAAAATGACGATAAACAATGGGACGTTCGCGTATCGTTAACATCATGTATGCATAGCTCATCAACACAACCACTTTCACAGCTTGCGTGCACCAATGATAGCAGTCCGAGTGAATTATACGTACATTTCGTCGCCGGATCTCTTCCTTCTTTTGTTCGATGAAACTGTCAGGAATGCCACTTGGATTCATGGTCGCTGAACTGAGCAGTCCCCAAAGCTCATGCAGGAAAACACGAGCATTTTTGCCGTTGAGGAACCCTGTCAAGTTGATCTGCATCTTCTTTGGATCTGGGTTCTGAAAGCAAGCAACAAGCCTGAACTGGACACAACATTTTCAATGCACCGTGAAGATACCCGAAACTATATGGCTTGGACGATCGCTAAGCCAGCCATTTCAACATCGTTAGAAAATGTTAGCTGCTTAGCATCAGCGGATCGGTATTATGCTTTAGAGGCTTTATATATCTTTGCAACAAAGAAAACGTTCGATAAACGATCTACTCTGCTCAGAAGCTTCATCCCTTCACCCTGATATTGACTATAATCAGCACGGCTTCGTCACGTCTTATTGGAGCTAACCTATAGACAAAATACGAACAAACAAAGACAAATGATTTAGTAGCGAGGGAAGTTAATAACTTATACAATATATACTGAGGTATATGCTTACTAAATACTTGTATACTAAAGCAAGTATCAAAGAAAAAGCTATTGGTGCATCAGGGTGACCGTCATGTCACGAGCTATGTGTTAAACCAGAGACGTAAGAATAGTTTAGCTTATAAAACCTCCGCAGTGAAAGGCCGAATTACACAGAAACTTGGCGTATCGGTGGGCACCTACAATGTTTTCCATTTACTGATTTTTATAGGTAATAAGAAATACAGCAATCAAAGACCACAGCCTTATTTTAAAAGGTTCAAGCAAACTCGAAAGTGGCACTGATCAGTTCAACACTTATGAGACAACCCTCCATCAAGAGTACCCTTTCTTCCAGCTGGTTGAAGACGAACTCAATGACGACGTCATCTTCGATGCCCAACAGCTGCGTGATCCGCTGGGTGATCCACGGCTTCAGAACATCAAGCTTCACACGGGTCATGTCGACCTGAAAGGAATATGGTGGGATGCGTGTTACATACACGCCATGACATCAGCGTGGAAGCACCCATCGGATTTAAACAATAAGACCGCCAGTTTAGATATTGCAAACCCAGGCTAATGGATTCAACATTCAGGCTAGCGGGTTAATTTCAACACACTACAGAAATGTCTTATGATGGCGCATGATGGCCTTTGAAGGGACTTTAATATATAATGAAAAGATACATTTCGGATATGCCTAGCATGACATTGAGTCAACAAAACTATATTTATTTTTAACATTCCACATGTATGCAAAGCAACACAACAACAAGTGGCAGCACTAGCAGAAAAGTAAGTTGACGGTGAGCGTGATTATTTGATTCAGCAAGTAACGCACCTTCGAAATTATCGACGTGTTGACTGTTACAGGTATCTGAACTAGCAATCAGTTCAACAGTCTGTTACTTTACCTATGTACGGCCTTACCTGGGTCGGCACTAGAGTGTGTCATCGCTCAACTCGACCGCGGTACAACTAGTCGGCCCCAGGATGAAAATGAGAATAGACCAGTAAAACATTGACCAAAGGACGTGGCTTCACACCACCATCGCAACTAACACTTCACGTGATAAAATACACATTACAGTTTCAAGGGGAACATGTCTAATTGATTTATGTTAATCCATTTCTAATAAGATGCTGGGACACCTGACCAATGAATAAACACCAATGTAGAGGACGCACGTTGGCAGGAAATTCAAGGAGTGCAAAACAGGAAAGAAACAAATTGTGAAGTTTCTGTACAGTCATATAGCTATCCAATAAGTCTGTGAACGCTGATGACATAATACATATCTAATGCATTAACACAATGACCGTTCACTGTTCTTTGCTTCCAAAGCATCAATAAATGCTTTCTTAAAGCTATTTCATTAGTTGGACGTTTCGTAGCTAATGCGCATCACAAATGTTGGTACTGCACTAGCATAGCACACCATCATCCATATTAAATTAAATACGATAGAGAACTTTATAAAATACGTTTCTCATAAACATCAAACAT